TTTGTGAGATTCATTTATGTGTGATGGGCGTTTATTTAATTGTGTCACTGATGCGCCCCCATACGATGTGGTTGGACATTGAGGCTATTTCATGCAGACGGAGTTATGAATAATGGCACGGAATTTTGTAAAATGTTTTTGCACTATTTCGGCAGTTATTGAAAATTCAAATATGCATTGTCATTTGTATCAGCTGTTGTACTGCAAGTACAATGAATTATGATCAACAAGATCGACAAGGAAAGGCGGCGTTCAATGAACGCAGCCCCCACCCGACCCAGCAACAAGAGTCATCGGCAAGGAGCCCAGGAGGACCCCAAAGAAAAACAGGACAGGGCATAAGGTAGAGCACGGGCAGGCAAATAATTAGTAACTGATTAGGAACTAAAAGAAAACAAATAAATGATTAAATATTAGGCCCATAAAGTCAAAAGGCACAGGGGAAAACTGCGACAAGCATTGAAATAAGGGTTTCTGATTTTGTTTCGGTTTTATGTCACACAAACGCAATATTGGTCACATGGCGACTTTCTAGCTTTACTGGTGGAGGAAGATCTTACCGTAGGCTAGCTGGATAGCTTTTTCGCATGAAAGAATCCGAAGACGCTTGCGCGGCTAAAACCTTTAGCGGTGACGGTGGGAAGCATGTGATTTGCAGTCAGCGACCATAACCACTCGGCCACGGACGTCTTTATTAAAAAGTGTTAGCCTGAGCATATCAACTTTACAAATATAATAATTATGACAATTGTGTCCGAAACATTGGGCCTCTGTGTTGTCTAAAGGGTAACTTCTTAGGCCGAACAAACTTAAAATCCTAAAATTGTAAAAATGACTGCTCCTCGCCCCGGTCAGTACAGTACTGCTGCTACCAAAGCTAATGTTGTTGCTGTTGAAAATCTAAGTCACAAATATGCCAGACTCACAGAGTAGAACTTGCTAATAGTGCTTGTATATATTCGGGGTCAGTTCAAGACGTTTAAAACCTTTAAGCCCCATAGACGTGCAAATAATAAGCAGTGGTAACGTAAAGACCTAGATAGACCAGTCATTGCCAAACAAAAAGAAAACGCGGGAAAAGTTTTTGTAAGCAAAATTTCAATTCTGATTGACCTAATGTCCAAGTTTTAGTTCCAAATGTAGGAACGTTTAATTAATTTTTAGTAACAATGTGCTGTAAAGCGCAGACCTGCCAACGGACTTAGAGGTCTTGCCTAATTTATGAAAATGCAAGCTGTTCAGTTAGTGCTGGCATCAATGATCCCGAAGGATCAGAAAAATATAACAACACTGAAGTGAAGTACAGGCAACTTTTTACAGCTGCCACACGGCACTTGACACCTGGTGTTATGAAGTATAAAAATCTGGAAACAAAGTGATCCCTCAGAAGCATTAATTACAACAAAATTACATAAGAATTGCAGAGTCTGTACATGAGGGATACTGAAGAAGTGCTGTGAAGTATAAAAATCTGGAAAAAATACAAGCAAAACCGAAATAAGCCAATCTTTACTTCGGCGATTGTATTTGTAAAAATCCAGTCTCTTTTTGAATCCTTATTATTTCTGAAAGAATGTGCTTTAGTCTGTTAAAGCTTGCTAGGGAGAAAGAGGGGACAAAAGCGCTCAACTTGTAGTATCATTCATTTAAGAATTCAATCATGAATGACTGGCTATTTTGGTATATAAATGAAAATCTAATGTGTTCCTCTTTGTAAAATATATCTTAAAGTACAAAATTATCATAACGATTGTATGAATTTTCACTAGCGATATATTTAATCAGTTTTATTTTCATATACTGTGCTTCCTCACAATTTGAAGAAGATTTACATACTCTCCAAACGATCTCCTTCAGATATATATTTAAACCAAAGGAAACATTCTGTTTAACTGAACATTGTTTTTCTTTTTTTTTCTGAAAAAAAAAATCCCCCCGTCTTCAAACAGCACCCCCCCCCCCCCAAAAAAAAATGCGAATTTAAAATTTCCTTCAACATCGGATTCACAAAAAGCCAAATCTATTAATACCTCTATCTATAATCATATCCACATACAAATGTTTATGTAAATTTGCACTGTCGATTGCATTCACACTGTGCGGTCTACATTTCATAATTAACTGTTAGAATATCAACATATCTTACACTACTAACGAGAGCTATAAACACAAATCACACTTTCTATGCATTTTGCTTAGCCTCAAATAGATAAATTTATAATGTTACTTGCACTTTAGGCTTTTATTGAAAACCATTTTCTGTTATTATAAACTGGCTGTCACTCTTTGTAGGTCAAATTGTTCAAATGTAAACATTTTAGTTTCTAAGTCAAATTTTGGTGAACAAATTTGATTTTCCTTTATAAAATGAAAGTACTCAATGGAACAGATATCAAGTTGGACACCACGTTTTTCACTTTTAATTACATTTGACGGATCAAGTTGGAGACTAAATGACGGACAGTTCTTAAAACAACCCATCGGCACTGAATTGTCTTAATTTTCATCTCCCGCCTTGCTTCGTCGCGTCCTTGTAATTAATTCTTTGCTGCTCTGTCTTTCTTTAGACATTAAGTACTTTTGTCATCGCCATAGGGTCAACTTCCTTTATGTATTCTGTGTTTTACTTATTTCATCTTGTTATCGCTTGACAGTAATTCATTTTATTTACATTGTTTCATTTAAAGGAGCATGTTGGGACAGTGCTTAGCTTGAATACGAGTCAAAATCAAAAGACAAAACGTTTTATGTTAGTACTCTTGTCAATATCAGAAACACACCTACGGCAAAATAACTTTAGGTGACATTTTGGACTCAAATGAATAAATAAAATGTAGCACTGGTGCATATTTTTGGGCAAAATACGAAACGAAACATTTATGGAATTCACTGATGATCAGTGATTTCGGCATGAACTGAAGACAATATATGAATATTGACAAGTGTTAATGAGACTGAGATTGGTGTAGTTCAATACAAATTTACTTAAAATTTACATTGGAAAGATTTCTGATATTAATTGAACTATTTATTTAGCTACGGTAGAGATTCATTAAAAAATATCAAATTTCAGTTAGGTGCAAAATACATTTTGTGCCGTTGTTTTCATTTTAAAACTTTGTTTTCTAAATAAAATTACAAAACGATGTATGCCACAAGGCCTGATTGTAGAGTAGGCATTCATTATTAAAAATTTGTTTGTTAAAAAGATATGATAAACTATATTGCCCACTTTTTAAAATTAAAGAACGGTTGTCTTCAAAAGGAAGAACGGATATCCTAAAAAGGGCAAAACTACAAAATTTGAAATGGTCAGCTTTGGTTTAATTAAACCTGTTCATGCGCGGTAGTGGTAATTAAAATATACCGACCACCCTCAATGTGACACGTTCGTGCTCTTGTATATGGTTCCAAAGTTAAAATCGGCTTATAACCAAAACGAAAAAAAAAAAAAAAAAAAAAAAAAAAAAAAAACAACAAAAAGAAAACAAAAAAAAAACAAACAAAACAATTGGGTAGATTAGGCCATTAGGCCTGCAAACAGATTTTAGCAACATTCATGTATAACGCGAAAATTGTCATATGAAGAATTTCGTAAAACTTGATGTCACTTGTTGAAAAAAAATGTCTGATGGAATATATTAAAAAACAAATTGCATTTGGGGCATCTACTTACTTATATAAGTAAATTTTACAGCCCGAGCTTCGATCCTTAGAGTGCGGTACTTTTGGAGAATGTGTTTATTTTAAATGGGTAGAATAACTATTGGTTCTGCTTTGTCCAATTTTGATTATGTTTTCATGAAATATCTCCACAGCTTATCATCCCTTCTGTTTCAAAATGAAAAGTAATGCACAAATATACTAAATGCATAATTTCAGTTGTATTTGTAGTTTTTTGTGATCTATAACTCAGTTGTAATAGTAAATTGTTTCACATTGTGGCGACTATTCTTAAAAGCAACATTGATTCTTGTCTAGCCATTTAGCAGCGTATCGGCTTTTTTAAGTTCGTTTTTAAGCATGGAAACATAAAGGTAAAAAAAAAAAAACAACAAAAAAAAAAAAAAAAAACAAAAAAAAAAAAAAAAAACAAACAAAACAATTGGGTAGATCAGGCCATTAGGCATGCAAACAGTTTAGCAACATTCATGTATAACGCGAAATTGTCATATGAAGAATTTCGTAAAACTTGATGTCACTTGTTGAAAAAAAAAATGTCTGATGGAATATATTAAAAAAACAAATTTTGCATTTGGGGCATCTACTTACTTATATAAGTAAATTTTACAGCCCGAGCTTCGATCCTAAGAGTGCGGTACTTTTGGAGAATGTGTTTATTTTAAATGGGTAGAATAACTATTGGTTCTGCTTTGTCCAATTTTGATTATGTTTTCATGAAATATCTCCACAGCTTATCATCCCTTCTGTTTCAAAATGAAAAGTAATGCACAAATATACTAAATGCATAATTTCAGTTGTATTTGTAGTTTTTTGTGATCTATAACTCAGTTGTAATAGTAAATTGTTTCACATTGTGGCGACTATTCTTAAAAGCAACATTGATTCTTGTCTAGCCATTTAGCAGCGTATCGGCTTTTAAGTTCGTTTTTAAGCATGGAAACATAAAGGTACACACAACCTGATGTAGTAATTGCGTTAGTATATTACTGTAATTGCAAACAAAATGTTAATAAGTATTCTTTCTCCAGCCATTTCATACTTAAAAACAATTTACTTATTTTTCCTACTTTTTTGTGCATGGGATATTTTCCGCTATACTTATATTGTTTAAGATCACCGGGCAAGAACAGTGGATAACTATATCAATAACCTTGTCGAGAATTGTCATAAATCAATAGAATTTGTCAAAAATGAAAGGAAGTCTAAATCAACTTTCAACATGGTATTTCATGATGAAACTGTGTGAGAAGTGTGCAAATCGAAACCAAGGTAGTGTTAGTTTTTACTTTTCTTAACTGACCCAATAAGACCAACAACAAAATTATTGAAATTTAATTAAAATGGCTTAATTACAGTAATCTATTAGCGATACAATTTTAGCGAACAATTCCAACATGTCTATGTACAACAAAGAAACCTGACTGTGCAATGAAAGGTAATGCATGTCGCTCGCCTTTTATCTTACAACAATTTTAATTTTTATAACTACAATCAGCAAATAGTTTCTGCCTTAAAATATACCAAAAAAATATATATCAACGAAAATGTACAGATTATTCATGTCACAGAGCCCTTAGTTTCAAAAGAAATAACGAAATTTGTCGTTCTTTAACAGGCCTCGCTAAAAATGCTAATCCCAAGAAACTTATAAATTATGTCAAGTAAATAAAGATATAGATTTTCCAAATAAGTGACACTAAAATATAAATCAACTAAAATTATATTACAAAACTATAGCATTTATCTACGTAAGCTTCATTTGGCTAGATAAAATAAAGAAGAGAATTTCATGTCGTGAAGCATCTGAACCAAATCAACTGATAGGTTTGAATCTATATAAAATAAAAAATGTACAATGTATTATTATTTACAGTGCGTTATTTGACATTGAATGTCATTTTCGTCTATAGTCAATAATAATTCTAAAACTAAAGCAACACAATTTTCGTCTTAAGAAATGTTACATTTATCTCTTATTTTCGGAACGATATTGCGAGGTGTGTCGCTATATGTTCGAAATGCTTCATTTCCATCTGGCGGTATTCGTTCACCTTTTGCTTCTCCAAGTGACAGGTCAACATAAAATTTTGAATCACTTCTCTCGACAGCTTTTTTCCAAAGAGGGCCTATCACATCATTCATAGACTCTTCATAAACAGTGGCTTGCATATCCGTACTCTGTTGTCCAGCAACGGGTTTTAGCTGCCTCTTATAGTGGGACAATCTGAATGTCGCGTTCTCATATACATTTTTCCAGTGGTCGGTTTCTTTACATAATTTTTTATAATATGAATCATCACAAGTAAGCTCGTTCTTTACTCTATCTATTTCTTCTATTTTTGATGTAAGCATGTCAAGATATTGATCTCCGATATTCGCAAGACTATTCCTTTGCAGCATTTCAATATCTGCTCGGATTGCTTCTTCAACCTCTTCCTCTTCTTTCATAATGTCTGCATCTTTTTCTCTGAACACGCTCAGGCGTTTCATATTTTTTCTTTCCGGTCCTTCTGAATGATATAAATATTTAAAGAGTTTGTTTTATTTTCTTTCATGGAAATATATTGTAAGATATGATTTCAATCAGAGCCATTTTCAGTTAACCAAATTGGATAATACTTGTATTTTAATGATGATTAAACGATTGTATATTACTACTAGGAAACTAATACCTTTGCCACCAAGTGCTTCTTGAACCATACAAAACACTGCTTCCTCTTCTGATGTCTTCTTAGCGAGAAATTCTTGCAAAGCTAACAAAGCCTGTAATCAAATAGAAATACTAGTCCAAGAAATTTGTGAAAAAAATGTGCACCTTCTGTGAAAAGCATGAAACTTGGCATGGTGTCAAGGAATGGTATTTTAAGTTATTTCAGCCTGGGATCCACTTTTTAAAAATCCAAGATGGCCGCCAAAATCCAAGATGGCCGCCAAAATGTAAAATGTACACAGGGCATGTCAAAATGAAGTTATTTATGACTAGAAAATGATATAAATTGACATTATACGTCAAAATAGTAATTTCTTGGAAAAAAGCTTAAGTAGTATTGGTAGAAAATTCAATATGGTTTCAAAATCCAATATGGCTGCCATTAAATGATGTTATTTTGACAAATTTCTATAGTAAAGGTAATTTGTATCTTCAACACTTTTCATACATGTAACAAACAAAAAAGTGGCATTCCTGCATAAAAACTGCATACACAGATATACATTTACAGAGAAGAAAACTTGCATTTATGGATAAAACCATGCGAGCACATTGTTTAGCTTGATATTTCAAAGAATAGGGAGCAAGTGATATTGTACACCAAAGGCGTCAGCTTTACAAGTTTTTCATGCAAGTTGGTTTTGTAAAAAATACATGATGGAATATGTTAAACCCTAATACACTTATTTTTTAGCGTAATAAAAGGTCACCGTTAAATGTCAATAACTCTTTCATGGATTTTGACAGAATTATGTCCCTTTTAAATATAGAGAATTTCTTCATAAAATCTATGGAACTTGTTTAGCTATAAAGCACACCAAGAACAGTCCTAACACTTTATGATGTCCTACCAATAGCTCTTGTCAATGTACATGATTCTGATACCATGCAAAGCCGCTGATTTTAATAATGATCCCCAGTTACCGCCTTATTTACCAAAACATAACACACAAAAATTAAAGTTAAAATCAATACAAAACTAGTTTCATTATGCGAAAAACAATATATCGTAGAATCACCAAAACAAAATGACTAATACATTATTTTGTGCATCAACATCTGCAGAAATTGAATCCTGAGCCCATAGAATGTGGGCTCAGAATGCATCCTCGCGCTTCTGTAGATGGTAATGCATGAAAAGTGTGAATTAATCCTCTATTGTTTTGTATATTTTAGTGCACACAATTCCTTAGCTTATTTGAAACCAAATGTTTAGTAATGATTTATACTAGTAAGTGTCGGAGAACAGAAGGGTTTTCTTCTGTCAATTGTTTTTTTATAATTTAGTTTGGCATCATCCTTGTGATCGTCTAAATGCAGCTGTGAGTTCTTTTTCATTAGTAAATTAAGCAGCATATTTTGTGTCATAGATAACGGAATCAGACTCTTATTATGTCATTATTTTGGCAAGGTCTTGTGAATAAACAAGAAAAACAGAATGATATTGAAGAAAAATATCTTGGGTTTTTCTGTAATCAAACTTAAGCCAAAGCATTATTAAGATTAGTAATTCGTGATTTTATATGAGATCAAGATTAGACTTTTGCAGCTCTTTCTATTTGATAATTTTGATATGAGATTCCAATTGTAAGATTTGAGATACTAAGTTTAACTTACTTACTTACTGCATTTCGGGGCTGCATTCCACATGTTCCAGGGGCAACGCTCTTAAATTTCTTGTTAATTTCTCCCTTTTATATTTTAAAGCAGTTGAAATGCCTGATTAAGCCTTACACAAGCATATGTATTTTCTGATATTACAGTATAATAGTTGATTTATAATCACAGTTGTTTGTTGTTTTTTTTTTTTGTATTTCAAAAACAATGGAAAATATTTAACAAATTATAAATTGTTTACTTAAAATTAAATAATTTCTGTTTGGTTTCCACAACTGTCATAAAAAGACTGTACACAAGAACTAGTGAAATCATGCCACACTTAGCTTAATTCATGAGGTTGTCATTTTTTCAGGGTTTTTTTAGTTTTTTTTATTTACTCCTTCTAGAATCACAATAACAATGAACAATTGACCTTAACTTGACAGACATTCAGTACTAGATCAATAGGTGTTAATTATAGATAATTAACTAAAGTTTTCTTGTTTATACTGATTAGTATTAGTTGATAACACTTTAAACAGTACCTTGCTTAAGTTAGTATAAAAGTAACCTGATGTACAACTGTTGAAATATAATTATTTCTTACATCTTCAGCAATTTACTAGCCTAGTATCCACACTTTTTTTAAGAACTGGTCACTTTTAACTCTGAACATAAAGTAGTCTTGCGTTACGTTTAACTTTTTACTCAAAATACAAATTACATAGGCATGAATTCTCTGAAATTACTATTATGAAGTGTTTTCTTTTTAGGGAAAATTACATAGCTGTTGATAAAAATATACAAAAGTTTCTATACCATTCCTTTTACACTTGCAAAATGACCCAGTAGCAGGTCAGCTACATATTATATCATTAGAATAAGGCTCAGTTTAGTTTGATGGCAAGTTGTTTGAACTTGAAATTACCTAAAATTAGCAAAGACATTTTTATTCACGGGCAGATAATGAAATTATGAGATGGTTTAACTTCCATTTTTTGTTTTAAAAATTCTTTTGTTTCTTTTGGGTTTTCGTAAATCAAGTAAAAATGCTTTTAAAAAAAATAAATCTGAGCAATGTAATTATGAGCATGTTTCAATAAGAATCGGATGCTTTAAAACAGTTTCATAACTAAATGGATTTTTGTCACAAAAACATATGTCTCCATAAACTATGCATCGTCACCCATGTGAAGTTTCATTGAAATCCCACCAGTAACTTGACCTGTGAAAGCCGGACAATATTTTTTTATTTATAACTCTGGCGACTATTATTTGCAGCGAAGCGAAATGTTCTGGTGATGTTCGTGCACAACTAGGGATAGTTCTGCTCTCTCCTGTAAAGTTGGTTGATATTCAATCAGTAGTTTGACCAGTGAAGGCCGGGCAAGATATTTCTGCTTTTAGCTCTGGCGGCCATTTTGTGCATCGAAGCGGAATGTGACCGTGATGTCCACAACTTGGGATGGTACTAATTACCCCTGTAAAGATAAGTTGAAATCCCACATGGACTTTGACCTGTGAAGGATGGACAAGCTAACATGTAAAATAATGTATTTTGTGCTATTTTATACTAATTTGAAAATGATTACAGCCGGTAAGCCATATATTCTGAAAAATTCAACATGGTGGCCATCTTGGATTTCGGCAAGCATGTTGGATATGCAAAACCAAGATCCAAGGCTTGAATATAAATAAATATGCAATACCATAATTTTAAATTGGTCTTATTTATACTGATCTGTAATGACAACAACAGCTGAAAACTATTACATTCTGAAAATTTTAATATGGCGGCCATTTTGGATTTTGGCAGCCATCTTGGATTTGCACAACCTGGATCCGAGGCTTGAATATATATAAATGTGTAATATAATAAAGTGGTGCTTGATGCCAGCCCGCATAGCTCAATCGGTTAGAGCGCGAGACTTGTAATCTCGACATTGTGGGTTCGATTCCCGGGCTGGCCAACTAAAATTACTAATCAGTCTTTCGGATGAGACTTTAAATCGAGGTCCTGTGTATGGGTGCTTAAACACTTGGCACGCTAAAGAACCAGGAGTAGCTTCTGGAACTGGGGCATCTTTCTGTATCTGTAATTGCACTATCCTCCGAAAAATAAAATGACTAATACTCTTCTGGAGGGCTCGCCCATATGGGCAACCGGTGGCGAGTATAAATAAACGCAAATACACACACACAATGTGGTGCTATCGCATACTGACCTGTAAAGAATACAGCTGAAAAACTTTAATATTTTGAAAAAAATAATAAAAGGCGACCATCTTGGATTTTGGCAGCCATTTTGGATTTGCACAACCTGGATAAGAGGCCTGAATATAAATTAAACTGTAATATAATGAACTGATGCTTTTTTATACTATTCTAGGTATGCCTACTGCTGAAATACACAAATATTCTGAAAATTTTATATATGGCGGCCATCTTGGATTTTGGCGGCCATATTGGATTTTTAAAAAGTGGATTCTAGGCTAAAATGAATTGAAATACTATTTCCTGCCACCATGCCAAGTTTCATGCTTTTCACAAGAGGTGCACAATTTACCCTATTTTATGCACGGATTTCTTGGACTATACTTTCAATAAATAATAATAAATAATAAATTTGTTAATATATAGAGGTTTTATTGGCCAGGAATGGACAGCTTCATAGCTGACAATGTCAGGAGATGTGGTCGTTGTATTCGTCGCAAGGCTCTTGCCAATACTGCTGCATTGGTCCCTTTACAATCAATGTCACCCATGGACATAGTATGCATCTATTACCTGTCTCTGGAACGATCGAAGGGGGGGGGGAGGTGGATTCGAGAATATCCTTGCTCTCACAGATCATTTCAGTAGGTATGCACAGGCATTTCCTTCTCGAAACCAAACTGCCAAGACAACAGCCAGAATTCTGTTCGACAACTTCATCGTCCATTATCGATTTCCGTCCAGAATTCACAGCGACCAAGGCCAGAACTTTGAATCGGCCCTTATCAAGGAATTGTGTTGTCTTGCTGGCATAAAGAAGACTCGAACAACATCTTATCATGCGATTGGGAACGGAATGGTGGAGAGGTTTAACCACACATTACTCTAGCTGCTTGGTACCTTAGAAGAGCATCAAAAGACCGACTGGAAGGCTCATGTTCCAAGTCTAGTACATGCCTATAACGCTACGCGACATGAGAGTACTAGCTACTCACCTTCTTTCCTCATGTTTGGTAGGCATCCAAGACTTGCAATTGATACTTTTCTAGGGCTACCCATTGACAGTTTGTCATCTAGCATACACTCGGAGTATGTGGTTAAACTTTGCGACCGTCTCCGAACCGCATACGAAAAGACCTGAAACGTTGCCTCCAAGACAGCCCAGGCGAACAAGGTACACTATGATCAAAAAGCACGTAGTGTCCAACTTTACCCAGGAGATCGTATCCTCGTGCGTAACGTTTCTTTAAGGAGTAAACAAAAGCTTCCGGACAAATGGGAACATCATCCTTACATCATCATCCGACAACCTGTTAAAGACATACCTGTGTATGAGGTAAAATGGGAAGGTCAGAAGTTTAAAAAGTCTAGGACTCTACATCGGAATCTTCTTCTCCCGTTTATGTCAACAACAGATGCACTGAATGAAAACGACTCAAATCAGAATGAATTAAAGGATGATGAAACAGTGGATGCTACAAACGAACCTTCTCCAGATCTTAAAGCAAACAGTGACGAGAGTGACGTTCAATCAGATCATGAAGAAGAGGCCGCCACAATTCCATACGTTATTCCAATGAGACGAGGTCCTGGACAAACAAGAACAACAAAACCTACAAGACCACAAAGAGGGAGACAACAACCAAAATGGATGACATCAGGAGAGTGGAAAATGTGATGTTATATATATAGATATATATTGGCTGTGTTTATGTAAATAAAATTATAATCAACGCGTGTTTACTTATTTGTATGTGTGCTTAGAGTACATAAGTGCGATATGTATCATTGAACTGTTTAGACTTATGGTTATGCAGTATAGATATTGTAAACTGTATTAATTACCTCATACTTACCATATTTACTTACCTCCATAATATGTTAATCTTTAGCTCAATTTACTTACCTCGATATACTCAGTATGCAACATACTTACCTGACATACCTTCTTGTCATGTTACAATTGTATGAAACTCTGTCTATGGTTCCACGTCTCGTGTCTATATGAGCTAACGGATATTTATCCATTGTATCACCAAGCTTCAAGTTTGATGTTGAATTCATCATTTGTTTTGCTTTAAATATAATTACCTCAGGTACACAGTAATTTTGAGTTGTAGCCCAGCCAGCGTGTGCAACTTATGCTTTTCCTATCAATTACCTATATTTAGCAAATGTGTTATATAACTTTGTTTATAATATGTATATGTTCTTTTTTTAATTGAAAGGAGACGTACAGAAAAGTCAGGAGCCTTTTAAACGAACCTGGAGGAGTATCTCGCAGGATAGAAATTTATATAAATATACATTGCTTAATATTTTGTATACATTTCAAATAAAATATTTTAACTGTATTTAAATGTGTTACATGTTATTTGACCCCTGATCCTATACCGTTATATCTCTCTATATTTCTATTATTCTTATCTGTCATTGTTACTAACCTGTCACCCGTAAACTTGAGATGCTATGTTCAGGTATGTTGTGTAATGCTCCATTGCACTTCTTATCTGACCATTACATATTATATTATAGTTGTGTTATATAGTTATATTGTGTTTATATATTGTTTAATAAATATATTGGATGTTTCAGGTTAGTAATCTCTGAAAGTTATTACTTAAATTATTAGTTATTACAGAATGTCATTATTGGTTAATATATAGAGGTTTTTGATAGATAACAGAGAGTTTGTTTGTTTGTTTGTTTCATTTAACGCCTTTCCCAACAGTAATTTAGTCATAAAGGCGGGTAGTTTCCTAACCATCGTTCCTGGAGAGTTACATCAGTACTAGACTACCGTCCTCCGCGCTAAACTACCAAAGCATCTCCCGGGGATCGAACCCACGCCAGAGAGGTAACTAGCTTAGAAGTCATCGACTGATAACAGAGAGATATATTCACAAAACTTACCTGGAATATTAACAATACTTACCTGAAATTGTACATGTAGTTATTACATACCTGTATCACTCATTCAACCTTATCTTTTAATTGTTAATTGCACTTCATATCTGACCATTACATATTATAGTTGTGTTATATAGTTATATTGTGTTTATATATTGTTTAATAAATATCTTGGATGTTTCAGATTTGCATTTGTTGTGTCTGTCTATTACCCCACCTGTAATACAAATAACTGCCGACTCGGCTACGTCGAGGTAACTGCTCAATGCTTGATACCCAAACTGTATTTTTCAATATATTTTTTGATGGCTTGATACCCAAACTTCCTATTATAAGATATTTTTCGATGTATATGAATGGCAAAAGTAGATATGTTTTGTCATAAAATATGACGAAAATATCCTTTAAAAAATCATTGGCAATGTCCCCTTTAATTCATGTGTCAAACCAAATGGCAACATCGTAACAGAAATAAACATGCAACTCTTTTCAAAATACAGTTTCCTTTTTACAAGTATCAGATTTATATACATGAATGATAACTTTATAAATGTTATATAAGAATCGTTATCTTACAACAGAACCCATGTATCCAGCGTCTATGTTGTATTGTTTTATCAGTGTGTCTAGATCTTTCATGTACTCATCGTAGCCTGTCGGTGTGCAATACTTTCGATTCTTTATCTTCATTTGAATTTTCATCATATCAAGCCGTCCAAGTATTTGCCAGCATTTTGCTTCGACATCCTTCTTCACAATTTCTTTGAAGTTTTCAAATTGTTCTTTGAAGCAAGTCTTGAATGAACAAGAAGGTGATCGAATGAACAACAAAATGATGGAAATTATTGGTGTGATCAGATAAAAATATATTGAAGAAACTTAAAGTCCAAATTCGCTAAAAAGGAGTGTGTATAATTAGATTTATTCAATGTTTTATATTTACCATTGCCTTTTCTTCATATATTTGCTCGTCGTCAATGATGAGTCCAGCTTTCAACACCTCAAGAGCTGCGCGCATGCTGTCCTTATGGTAGTTTAAAAGACCTTTTTCACTCGGTGTATGAGAGCCTATACGCTTCTTCATTTCGGCTCTATATTCTTCTGAGGCCTTTTCCACTACATAGGTGTTTTCTGAAGCTACCATTGACACCATTGCACTTGTCAGACACGGGGATTCTCCAGCCCGTATAGACTGAACATATTTTAGCACAAGGGAGCAAAACACTGAAAGATATGACAAAATGGTAATTACCACAAAAACATATTAAGTCATTATGTTACAGTGTATATATTTGTTTCATAATAAGGAGCAATGTTTAAGGATATGCAATATCTAATTATCGTCGGATACCCACGGTTGAACCAGTAATATTCATGAGCCGTAGATTTTTCCGATATCCAGTCAATTAGAGGTGTTTCAAAGACAGCTTTTTGGTTGCCTCACGAATCAATGAGGCGATTTAAACCAAATCAAAACGCTCGTTCTATGCGATGTTCGGTGAAGCGTTAATATTAGAAACAATATCGCTACAGTGGTTTCTGCTTGTGGAAGAATTGAGTTGGCTATAGTTTTTGCCTTTTATATTGGCAAGGTACGTGAAACAGGTTTTCACTGCGGGTGTTGATATTTTGTTTTTTATAGTTGTTTGCCCGTGCTGTTGAAGAATATAAATTTTGTTTAACACCATTTTATTGGTCGATATTTTACACACCTGATGCTTTATCTCAACGCATATAGAATTATTTTAGCCACAGGTGATTACATGTTTTGTTATATGTTAATCAACCGTAAGTATCCGACGATGATATTTATTTTGTATTTCAAAAGCAATCCTACAAAATATTCTTCAAACACATTTGGTTTTAACTTCATAAGCATTCGGTTTAATGATACAACAAAACAAATTACATAAACAATGAAATTTGACTTAACTATATCAACGACATAACATGTATTCATGTGACAGAGAAAATATGGAACCCAAACTGCAAAAGTTAAAAATTTTAAGGGGCGGTGTTATTAAGCACCTTAAAGCCTAATTAATAAGTTTTCTAATCGCGCAAGTTTTACTTACTTCTCCCATTCATTGCTTTTCCAGACTTAAGTGATTTTGGTTGGCATGAAAATATGTAACTTCGGAACCCTACGAGCGTTTGAAGGAACTCTTTTTTGAATTGTGACTCATCTACATTCAGCAGGTCCTTAAGTAGGGCATATTTTACCGGTTTTCTGAACAAGAAGCATTTCCTTTTCTTGAAGTATCGCCTTATAAGCATCCTTGGAAGGTTGTACTCTTTCAGTGCTTCTTCAGTAGCATCTCTTTTCATATTCAAGTTTTTCTCCAGAAATGCATCGCCACCTTCAGATTCAATGTCAAGAGTAATGTCTCTTAAGGTTAGTACAAAATTTGGAAAAAAGAAATCAAGAATTGAATCGTCTTCTTCGGAGCCATTTACTTCAATTGATGTCTTGATTTTGTTCAAAAATCTGTACACAGTTAAGGCAAATGAAAATGAACATAAGTAAACGAAAGTGTTCATCAAGTAGTGAAATCTGCTGGGAAATTTGTAAGTAAAAACTTCACTTAAACCAAACTTGTATATATTAAATAGATTTTATGCAGGGAATGATAGAATAATCAGACACAATAAATCATTGCAAATTTATGTATATGAACAATTTAGTTTGTAATTGCATTGTAACAAAGAAGAATGGAATTTAAAGGTCAGCTTACCAATAAAATGTGTCAATAAGTATTCAAAAGCATACATTATTTCTCTATGAAAATATACTCAAATTGACCAATTGCAGTTTTATTATTGTTATTATAGTAAGTGTGATTATTACAAAAATATTCATATTAAGCATTAAATGTATCAATATCTTTTATAAGACAATATTATGGTGAAAGGATAATTGAATTTATCAATGGTAGTTCTATCCAAATTTCCTTTCGTGTTGTATACTAATGTGTTAGACAAAAGCGTGGCGAGTATGAACACATTTTTGTCGTCTTCTACTTCAATCTGTATAAATGCAAAAGAATAACAAAAACATCTAATTTACTAAAAGATAGGTTTTATTTTTTAATTTTATATCCTTCAGCTTATTACATAACCTTTTTGGTTTCAGACATTTTAGTTAAATTAAAGTTTTTTCCGAAGTTATCACCGTCGTTAATAACTTATATTATTACATATAATCGACGCTTTATAAAATTATGTTACATAATGTAACTTTTATTAATTGATTTATCAAAGTCGTTCTGATCAAGATGTAGAACTAACTATTATATAATTTTTCTCATTAAACATGTTAACTACCTTGTCTGGGTCATCTATCCCCTCTGTATCCAGTAAGACAAGAACTTGATTTTCTTTGGTTGGATGAGGTCGACACATAACCCATATCCCTTTTGTTACAGGATCTGTGGTATGTCCGATCGCAAAGCATGCTTCTCTATTCACTGAAAGAATGTTTTGACTTTTTGTTTCGTAATTTGCAGTTAAGTGTCCAACATTTTCAAACGTTATTGTTATCTTCATTATATTTAAATGCTTATTAATTTGCTACATTTTATATGGATAATCCCCACCGTCTTTCATTAACAGCAACTCACTCATATCTGATTGCTGAGCAATTCTGAGCAAAACTGTTCATGGTCCTTTACAACTTGCATTGTAACAATGAAAATTCACATCAATACATAATCATTTTATGCCAATATTTTACAGAATCAAAATAATTGTGTTAATCGCAATTTACGTCATAAATGTACCTGCACCGTGTCTTGCTAGTTTGTTCAATAGAAAAGATTTTCCAGTTCTTAGCGTGCCAACAACAGAAACTATGTTCAACGGCTGCTCAATTTCTCTTAGTCTGGATAATGTTGTTTCATTGCAAGTTGTTTTACCATTTTCTGTGGATACTAATACAATAGGAGCATGGAAAATTGGATTATCCGGTCTGTTTGGAATAAAATAAATATTGCATGTTTAAAAAGAATAACATAACTATTTGCTTGTACAAAGTAAAATAATTTATAACCAGCAGACATTTTCACAAAAAATCTTACGACAATTTTTTGTCGTAAGAGAAATCTTACGATAAATCTCCTTTTCACAAAAAATCTTAAGAAAATCTTAAGTGCAAAATCTGTCGTAACTTTACGATAGGTCTTCCCCGTTCGTAAGTGTAATTTTCTCTCTTAAGGGTAAAATATCATGTATTCTCTTACCTAAACTGAATAAAAAAACAAACAAAAAGTTGGAGGACAACTAAATATTAAGCAAAACAGTTTATGCTTTAAATAACACAAATTGAGGTTTAACTATTTTTTCAACATATACATTGTGACGTCATGACTTGATGACGTCACGATGGAGAGGGTTCATGAATAGTTTAAAATAATGTGAACTTTAATGTAGACTAGTATTATTAAAAACTTATAATTTGTACAATTGGTGAGTTCGATTTCATTGCCAGAATGTACAAGTGGTACATTTTTATTTATTAATAACACAGTAGACCTTCTTTCTAAATCTTTTAGATATATATAATTATCTTCAATCAAGATATAAATAATATCAGTATGAATCATGTTTTTTTTCTTATTGAAATTTGATTGTGTTCAATAGATATTTCAAGCTCTTGATTACTTGATTTTAAAACCGGAATCAAATATAGAGCATGCAAATGAACGTTGCTAGGGATGTTTTTGTCGTAAGATTTATCGTAAGTTTATTTTTTATCTTAAGATAAAATCTTAACTTACGAGTGGCTTTGTGAAAATGACTTAAGATTTAACTTACGATTATCGTAAGTGAAAAACTTAAGATAAATCGTAAGATTTTTTGTGAAAATGTCTGCAGGTATATGTTGGCAATATTTCAAACAGTTTTTTTGGTATTTGAAATTGTTGCATTTTTTTTTCAAAGCGTGTTTAAACAAATTGCTTTACTTTTAATTCACAAATGCCGCAGTCATGAAAGAAGTTTAGGCTCCCATTATAAATCCTATAACTGAACACTTTTTTTCTAGCATATTTTATATGAAATGAGATTTTCTAATACATATATCTTTAACGGAAAATTAAAATAAGTGATATGATATCTAAGTTACTATATTAACTGATCTTGACAGATGAAATACTTACAACGAAGTTTCTTTTAATACCTGCAAGCTACTCGTCTTCCTTTATATAAAGATTGTAAACATTACCAAACAAAAACAAACAAAAAATGTAAAGGATCTTGTTTAATTAATTATAATAAACACTATACCACTTTTAAGAAATGAATACAACTGTGCTATTCGTTTAACTGTTTTTAAAATGGATAAGGTTTTGTAAAACGAATGTTGTCCTAGTTTTGCAAACAAATAGTGATGCAAAAGTTCCTTTGTCGTTATTGTAAGAACAAGAGTCATGTCAACATGGCCATCCCCCGCCGAATGTGTTTGCTCATTGGAAGAATGTATATGTAGTAGAGCAGAATAATTCCATTTTAAGAGGTCTTTTGGTAATGAAAACTGATGGCTATAGTGATTACAGATTTGAAACCTATGTGAATACTGATGGCTGAAAATAACAAAGGGCAATAACTGAAAAATAATGCAGGGTAGGTTATCATTCTTGTGTGCTGCATCCCTCCTCAGTAAAATCTATCCACCTATGAAGTTTCAAGTTGATACCTCAAATACTTTTTGAGAAAAAAATTGAATTGAAAAATTAAGTATGAAAAATAACAAAGGGCAATAACTCAAAAATTATAAAAGGTACAGTTATCATTCTTGTGCAGTGCACACCTCCTGAGTGAGATCTATGCAGCTATGAAGTTTCATTTTGATATCTCAAAGGCTTTTTGAGTTATGCTCTGGACAAAAATTAATGTTGAAAAATAACAAAGGGCAATAACTCAAAAATAATGCAGGGCAGAGTTATCATTCTTTAGCACTGCACTCCTCCTCAATGAGATCCATCCACTTATGAAGTTTCAAGTTGATACCTCAAATACTTTTTGAGATAAGCTCTGGACAAAATAGCATGAAAAAAACAACAAAGGGCAATAACTCAAAAATTGTATAGGGAAGAGTTATCATTCTTGCGCACAACATTCCTCCTCAATAAGATCTATCCTTCTATGACATTTCATGTTGATATCTCAAACACTTTTTGAGTTATGCTCCACTCAGGTGAAAAATTAGGTATGAAAAATAACAAAGGGCAATAACTCAAACATTATGAAAGGAAGAGTTATCATTCTTGTGCACTGCACACCCCCTGAGTGAGATCTATGCACCTATGAAGTTTCATGTTAATATCTCATAGGCTTTTGGAGTTATGCTCTGGACAAAAATCAATTTTGAAAAATAACAAAGGGCAATAACTCAAAAATCATGCAAGGTAGAGTTATCATTCTTGTGCACTGCACTCCTCCTCAATAAGGTCTATCCACCTATGAAGTTTCAAGTTGATAATACTTTTAGAGATATGCTCCGGACAAAAATTTCGGACGGAAGGACGGACGGACGGACGGAAGAACGGAAGGTCGGACGGACGGACGGACGGAGACTATTTCTATATCCTTCGCCGAAAATTTTCGGCGGGGGATAAAAAACACACATTCAAAGTGACATTATACCCATCTAGGCACAAATAGTCAAGGAACAGATAGCATTGAACGTATATTGACAAGTTACCAAAATCATGTTCAATTTTCGATATTCAATTATGATAAAATAATCAATAGTCCACAGGACCAACGGAAATTTCTATTAGCATCATTAGCATCGTTTATATTGTATTGGTAACTCTTAATTCCATAAAAGGGTCTTTTGATAATTTAGGTAGTTTTTTGTATCATAGACATTTTTAATTTTCAATTATTGATCAGTTTGAAATATATTACTTATTTAACTCAACTTGACGGCGACAAAAAGCATAATATCATGTTAACTTCATACTCACGTTGGTGACAAAGTCGTTGTTTTGATTTGATTGTCTTTTTTAGGTTTGACTTTTGGACTCCTGAAATATAACTCATTATTATTTTGGCTTGAATAGTGCGTTTAAACTAAACATGGAGTGAAGCACAGACAGAACATTTTCTGTTTGTTTTTTAAATCCGATTTTAATACTTTTATCTATTGTTTGAAAAGATTGGTTTCAAGATTCAAACAATGTTAATATTACTTTCCGTTTTTTAAATTATTTGCATAAAGTATATTTGTAAAGACGAACATATATGAAATAAGGTACAGTTACATAAAATAGATAAATAAAGAATCCCTAAAGAAAGCCCAACACGGCAAAATTGAAAATGTTGCAGGCTCGGTTTGATTGAGCCTGTTCATGGACGGTACTGGAAAGTGCAAGTTACCGTCCACGCCCCCTAGCACCGGCTTAAGCAGAATTCAACATTTAAACATGAAATGGTAGAATTTTGAATTTAGAAACATCCGCAGATGTGTTCATACGGCGGTTATCATGGAACCTTCAATGTGACACTTACGTGCCATTCCATGAAAAGCGGCGTATGGTCCCCAAGTAATAAAAAGCGTGTGCCCTAAACGAGAAAACAATGGGCGGAACTAAATAAAATGGAATTTTGAAAGGGGATCAGAGGTTATGAAGCCTGCGTATCACAGATAAGACGTCAAAAGACAAATTTAAAAAGCAGGCAACATATCCTAAGGGTGATTCAACATTATTCAAGTAGGAATATTGGAATCACCCAAGTGGAAAATGTCGAAAAGTTGAAACTAAAAATACCACAAGCACAACAATAATGTCGTGCTGAACGATCTTCAAGGATCGAAAATATAACATCATTGATTAAATGTACGGGGCGACTTTTTACAGCCGCCACACGGCACAAATAACACGGATGTGATCATAAAATAGATAAATAAAGAATCCCTAAAGAAAGCCCAACACGGCAAAATTGAAAATGTTGCAGGCTCGGTTTGATTGAGCCTGTTCATGGACGGTACTGGAAAGTGCAAGTTACATTACAACATTACAACTTATTCTGGACATAAAACGCTCATTGTGTTTTAGTCGACGTATTTATTATGTCCCTTACATTCTTCCTCTACAAGAATAGATCAACCGTATTTGTAATCAAGTCTTATTTTGTACTTAAATAAAAAATGAAGCTCTTTACTCGGTTCCTTTGGAAAAAAATTAGAATGAAAGCACTTTGCATGTGTGAACACAAATCTTATTGTTATAAATGAATCTTAAGGTCATTCTTACATTCTATTTTGCCAACGTTTAAGTCACCTCATATGTATAGATTCAGGATATTTACATTGACAAATGCCAAGTCTATATCGTTTTTTTAAAGGAAATAAATATTTTATCATTATCCACCGACTTCATAAACAATTTGATGTAATCCAAATGATTCAGCATTAGTTTAGAATAATTCGTTTTGATAAATGTGCGATGCAATGGTGAATTAAATTGAACAGTTTTGCATTTACGCATATCATAACCAAAGCACTGAATTCCTAAATTAGAGGTCGTGAAATCTATAGACAGAATACATATATTCTCTTTTTATTTCATAGTTATAGACTTCAATATTAACGTGATTTTAAATTATATCACCCGGATAACAGCGAGTTTGGAATTGTGTTACGATAAACTGGATACATGTAACTATGTTATTTCGCTAACGATGTGAGAAATGTTACTTTTTAACATTACTTTAACACATAAGTGACTATCATTAAATTTTCTGTTAGTGTGATAAAATCAGGTGAAGATAAGATTTGTAACTTACGCAGGTGCAACCATAACTGCATCGGTTTTCTCAAACATTTTAAATCTGCTTGCTGGCAACCTTTTCACTTCTTCCTTTTCTTCACTCATTTTATCTTCTTCCTGAAAATGTACAGTTTATAAACATGTAAAGATTATCAAAAACATGACTTTATAACGGTGTCCCTTGAGTGCCATCGAGATACACGTAACTCTAAACACGAAGAACGATGATGAAAAGTCGAATTAACGAAAATGACGATGGTGAAAATTTGAAAGTACGATTGTGAAATGTCGAAATAACGAAACCATGATGGTGAAAACTTACATATTCGTACATCTAAACCATAATCAAAGGTATACTAATTAAAAATATGATATATATTACAAAATGGACCTTTCCTTTCTGTAGCATTTAAATTATTAAACCTCGTTTTTTTCTATTAATTGCTATTGTAAATAGCAAACGGATAACAAGTAGACCAAAATGCATTAACTTGTAATTAAACCACAGTTCCGGTTTATCAGGTATGAAAAGGTTTGCTCATTTGAGGACAAATGTAATTCATTATATACGCATTGTTACGCATAAAGAAATATAATCTAATCAAAAGGAATTGTATTCCAGCCACGATACAGTTGTTTATAAATTTTTTAACCTTGAAGCAAGTCCAGAACATGCATTCTGTGAAGTGGAAAATGAAATGAATATCTACTGATTTAAACAAGCAGTTTTGTGCAAATAATTATTTTTTTCTGGCGGAATAAGACACGGTTACAATGTCCGAATGAGACAATTATACATAAACGTGATACATGGGAATGGTAATATGACAGAAGAAAATGAACAGAGCCAACAAGAGTCAGCAATAGTGCTCAAAAGGATTCCCGCCTTTGATAATTGACAAATACAATGTGCGACACCTTGTTTTCAGAAAAAAATACACTCTTGTTATGAAAAGCGAACATAAAATGCCATAGTTCTCGAGAAATGATGAAATCACAAAGCAATGACAGTATTCACCATGCCAGTGTGTTTCTTGCGCTAAATTACGATACGTTTTAGCGGTTTTTATTATTCAATAATGTTGTAAATCATTATGAAATGTAGTCTGCTCATCCCTAGCACAAAAATGAAAATGTATTATGTTGGTTTTGAATGTATATTTGTATTTTAGTTCAAGATATATTATTCTTACCCCCGTTTTTTGTGCAATATTTCATTTTATAGTAGTTTTGCTGTCGCAGCTCTCGTAGACTGGAAAAGGATTGATGTAGAGCTTTGACTTTCGTGATAAAATGTGCATTGAAATCAATACTAAAACATTGTCTCTTCATGTATTCATTATAAAGGCACCTTTGTTACAATGTCGCACAGATTTTGAATAGAATACCATCTAATATACGTTCTTTTAAAAAAAGGATAAAAACATATCTTTCAAATCAATTAGATACCTTGATAACTCTGTCATTATGTTATTATTTTTTTAAAGGAGTGTTTGTCACAAAAAAGCTATAGGGAAAAATCTAAATGGAATAGTTGTAATTGTTTTTTATCGCATGGTTCCTTTGTTCTTACTAACCCATTATACTAAGTACACTTCAATGAGCATTTAAAACTGTATTGATATATGGCAGTACAGATTCTTCGTTGATTCATATAGATAAAAAACTCGACTGCTATATTTCGCACCTTGTATTTATCAATGTAGTTTTTTTCACAGAGGCTCCAATGGGGCAGTGGTAACGAACCGTCCAAGTAGAAAAAAATGGAATCAATAAAATAAAATAAATTAATAAATACAATGAAAAATATAAACAAAGATGATTAATGAAATGAAATTTACTCTCATTTAATCAAACGGTACATCCACTGAATAAATTATTTCCACTGAAAAAAAGCCCTTTAATCTTGAATCAATATTGGTTAACAGTTTACAATCCGCCTCTAAAATTCGATGTCTTTTGTATATCTTATTTTTTTGCGGCAGCGAAAACAACTTGAAAAAACTGCCTTATAATAAATAACTGTAATGTAGCAAACGATTTATTTATTTATTTCTATTACAAAAAAGAAAACACTATGCCATTGCGATAAAACAGCTATAGTATATGAAACTCGTTAGTTACGAGGATATAACACTGGCTTGGCGAAATATTAAGTAACTATCCCATCGGTCTGCAGTAGCAAAACAAATTGCATATAAATAGTTTGCAGCCATAACTAAATGAAGTAGTAGGCACTATTTATATATACATTTAGTAGGGTCCTCTGCAGGTATTCTACGTATAAAAAATTTCTAAAAGGTACCAACTTTTGCCATAGAGACGTAGAAAATTCTATGACAATGATATTTCAATACAAATTAAGTCTTTAACTATAGATGATCGACCTTTTTTCTTTATCACGTGACTTATAGGACTCTCCTTAGTGCGGAAGAGTTAAGCTGATCAAAGTCAAGTTAACCTCAAAATTGGATATCATATTTTAAGAATCACACTACTTCAAACTGAGTGAGCATGATTTGCTTTAAAATACTTATCCAGATGTACGAAAGTAATATTATGCACGCTGTCATTTTTAACATTAAAACGTAAATTTTGCTGTCGATGTTTTGTCGAGGTATTTCCTCTTTGTAATCGTAGTGGAAGAGACTTTGCTATTTTTGCTGTAATTGATAACAAAAATATAAAGTCAAACTTAGTTTGCTCGAACCCGGAGAGGCGTGCAAATTTGTTCGAGTTTTTATCATGTACCGTACTTTTTGGATGTGTGGAGATTATCCTGGTTATATACTTGTTTATTATTGTATAAAATGAAAAAAAAACTTAGCCCTTCGATAAGGGAAGCACAACTCTAAAGTGTCTGCTTAAGGAAAGTGGTTGCTTAAAACATGTGTAACTGAGAACAACGCGTATGTTTTGAGACATTTTTGTTTTGCGGGTTAAGCCATGATACTGCTTTTACTGTAGATAATCACCTGTTTATCCTTTGCAAACACTCAAGACCAACATTTTACCCACAGTTTTTTGCAAATGATGATCATCCGTACTGCATTTCATAATGATTTAAAACCCTATTGAATAATAAAAACCCTACAACGTGCCGTGATTTAGCACAAGAAACCCACTGGCAGTAACAAAAGCTATCATAAGAACTCTAGGAAAAGAACTCCAGGACATTTGAAAAATCAGGTATAAATTTGTTAGCCGGGGCTTTATGTTTGCAATTTTGCATTAAAATTAGGTTATTATGTATGGTAATGATGGAGACCAGAAATAAACAGGTCAATACGTGCGAATTGGCAAATAATTTGTAAATTTTACTCAAAACTTCCAGATTTTAAGCAAGAGGCGATGAAAAATTGTCTATGAATTAGTTTTTGACACATAATACAAGATGTTAGGCAAGTTAAATCATTAAATTTAAATTGAGCACCTAAAACTCACTTTTTAAAGATGAAAATTACTATTTTCGACGAGTGTTTTTATAGTAAATATAAAAATTTTCCGACGAACCCTGTGATAGTTATTACAAGAAGTCCTGACAAGTTATCATAAGAACCTCATCCCTCGTGTAAGAGGTCCTCCCTCGTGAGACCGCTTACGTTTTGTTCTAGCGGAGATTATTTTCGTATTAGGCTGTTCTATTTTGCACCCTACTATCGTTTAGGTACAAAGATAATAAGAAACAATCATAACTCATTTTCAAATTTTATCAACAGTTAAAACTTACGTGTCAGACTGGATTATATGGGTGCTAAACTAATCATTTTTGAAAACTCCACCAATGTCAGTTTAAAATGACGTCATTATGTCGCCTTCATGCACGAGTTGCTTACGTTAAAAGGTGTCTTACGACTTTGCGTAATTTATTTCCTAATACAAATTTTATCAACAGTTACAGATATGAATAAAACCTGTGACGTAAGTGTATGTGAGATGATGTTTTAGCATCATATAAAAAGAAATAACAATAAGAGCGGAAAATATAAATAAAAACGCGTTATCTTATTCTTATCAGCGGACAAACAAAACAAACAAAAAACAGCTGCTAATACATTTAATCCTAATGTTTATTGGCAGTTAAACACTGATTTTTTCCTTCTTCTTTGTGAATAGTGACAAAATCACGAGGAATGTTGGAATTTTATATAATGCAAGTGACGTCGAGTTAAAGTTTTATTACACTAGTGTAATATCGTTTTTATTAATTAAATAACCTTTTTACACGCCCGCCCTTGTTAAATGCGATACAGTCACTTTATTCTGATAATTTGAATCAAACACAAAATGTCATAATTGTGATAGTTTAGATTAAATTCTTTGAGAAATGTTGGGAGAGTTTTACGCAGAATAAGTTCATAACCTTCAACACCTACCCGCCTCCCCCGCTCACCTCACCTACCCGCCTCCCCCGGTCACCTCACCTACTGCCGCTTTATAACTGATATATTTGGTTTGGGTACATCAGTTTGAACCCTCCCGCAATGCCTATATAAGATAATCTAGATATCATTCGCATAATGCAATGATACACACTAACCATTCAAATGATAATGTAATGTACAATGAAGGATACTAATCTTATGTAATTGGATGAATGTCATTGATATACTGAGTTCTATTACAAATATTCAACTGTATCAAGTTTTACAAATGCATGGCCGAACAATTTGTTCAACTTATTATCATCGTATCAGTTTTTAAGCTTATTCATGCTTATTTTTTAAAGATACATACATGCATATAGTAAGGGCTTATGTTTTACGCATGGAATAATACATGTATCATATTCATCGAGTCATTTAAAATGCATTGAATTTACGAATTCAAGTCTTGGATGGTATTTGTCATTTGGATTATAACGAAACTTGTGCGCGAGGTATGTCAAACTTACACACCTATTTTTTCTCTTTGTAATACCCCAGTCAAATTAAAATCTAAAAAAGAAAATGAATCAATTAAAGCTATTGTTATAATACGCGCACTTTTTTGGGTTGACAATTTATTAATCCTATTCTACCGTTTTTCTTGTTAACAAGGCCAGCATACGCAGAAATTCAAGTGGTTAAAAAATCAATGATGTGACGACTTTGTCGACTTTAACCCTGCGGGGCGCAGTCGAAATCAGCAAGATGGATGCAACAATATGTCTAATTTGTCGTAATTGCGCTCTATACGAAAAAGAACAAAGTTGCCATTTTTTTTAAAGTATAAAAGTCTAATTAACAGAAGTGGCAGAAGGAATTCACGAGGGGTTGATGTCAGTTATAATTGATTTTCGCTATTATCTAATATTAAACTAAATTGTACATACAATGTCACAATGTTATTTGAAAATACATGTACATGTGTTTGTACGTCACAAAATATTGCTAAAAAAATTATATTATTACTGATAGATTCCGAAAATTTTTGAAGACGTACTTTAGTTATTACAGTCACGAAACAGATTTGAATCTATATGCGGCGCTTAGTGTTACCGTCATAATTACCAAATTATCATTTTTATCAGACATGCTCTTACAACCTTGACAAAATGAACGAAAAGAAATAAACAAAAGAAAAAAAAAAAAAAAAAAAAGAATAAGAAAAAAATAGAGAAATGAAAAAATAGCAAAAAACAAAAACAACAACAACAAAACAATCAATTAACAAGAACAAATAAAAATTCAATAACAATACAAGAAAGTTATAATAGTATTTCTTTTTAAAATTTACTTTACCCCGTACACAATACAATATGCGTCCTTTATCCAGTATGTTAACTTTAAAACTTCCAATACTTTAATTATTTAATTATCATTTTAAATTTTAAAAATCTAATAACTTATTCGCTAAATAAAGACAAATATTGCTGAAAGACATATTTCAGCAAGATAGCTACACAATACTACCTCTCAACGCATATTGCAGATCTAGTCAATATGCTTACAAATCAGTTTAACATGAATGGGCAATGCTTTATATTGTTTTAACGACTATGTATCCAATTATCTTAATTGTTTGGTTTACGTTTTTTTCAATCAGGTCTAAAGCTTTGGATTTAAAGATAGTATTCAAGGACTTTAACCCATGGTAAGAAATAAGATTATTATATTGACAATATTATGAGGATCTCTTTTTGTTTGAGTGAAATATGGAATATATTTTCACGAAACATGATGAAATTCCATATTTTTTCACGAGTCGGAACGGTGAGCAAAATATATTGAATTTTATTATGTTAAGTTTTAATGTTAATCATGTTTCACAAGAAACGAAAAATAGCATTTTATTTAATTGAATTTTCGAGAAGAAAATACAATAAAAGTTCCTAACGAAAACTCTATTTTTGTCACGCAGTTGCAAATGTACAGCGCGATACAATACAAAGACTATTTAAAGTTAATGCAGTTTACACTCACTTTATAATAGCCATCTTGAAATATCTTGAGATAATTTCTGATAATGAAATGAACAGAACAGTTGAAACCATAAGCGTTCAGCACAGTTATCATGCCAATAATGGTTAAATTATCATAAAATAACCACCCCTTGATCATCATGCTATCCAGCCATCCGTTTACTATATAAGCTATTTTACTACATACAATATGAACAAGGTATATAACCCGCCGTAGCGTATTCCGCCGACACGGTCAACATTTTGCTCTCGCATTTTTTAAAATAAGTCATATTGTCATACTTTGTGCTAACGAAATATCCAAAATCCATCACAAGTAAACCTTCATTTAGCTGCTTGCCATTGGTAAGCATTTTACTGTTCTAACATTAGTCTATAGATTTTACCTTGTTCTGGTAAGCTCCGTTTGCTTTTACTATCCATTCAAATATAAGGTATTTTGCAAACAAAAGCCGCCCTTTATTTTTGTTGGAGCGTGCGATTCACGTTAAAAACTTAAAATTACTCCAAAACATAATGATATAAATTTACGCTCGTTAGACAATCAGATACAATATATATAACCTGTAAATATTATTTCCATTTAAGACCGCGTGAACAAGTCGATACGTTTCAGTCGATAAACGCTTCATGGAATAAGTTTCAATTTTGCTATTGGCGCTCTGTGGAATTTGTTCTTACTTTCACTATCAAAATACTTGGAAGTACCTGTACCCGACAAAGGGTTATTGATTATCAGATCGAGACAAACTTCAATAATAGTTATATCATTTGTGGAATATCACCTGCTTGTACTGTGAGTAAATTTAAGCATTTAAGCGTGTATTTTGTTTAGACTGTGTATTGTTCAATTGTTAAATATCCTGTACATGTAACACATTTTTTATGGTTTTATATCATGAATATGATGCTTAATAGATTTATCAATATTGTAAGTTCTAAAAAGCATAATTTATAAAGATATTACCGAATCTAACATTCATGTAAATAAAGGGAGGTAATTAGAATTAATTTTCTATAAAGTCTAAACCAAATTTTTCAATAAGTAATGAATGCAAATACTTTAATGATTACATTTAATATGCACAACTATTTGCAGTACATATTTTACATATTCTTCGATGTTTGAAAATTGTTTAATAAGCTTAATTATATACATATATAAATTTCACATACGTGTGGTAACAACCTCAGAAAGTAAATCGGGCGACCCGGGTTCGATTATCGGACGGCGCAGGTCATTTTCAATGTGATTGATAATGAAATCCTTTCAACGGTCATTTGCACTGTACCTCTGCTCTGGTATGTATAGAAGTTTCAGTTCCTTGCAACTAGTACTGGTAAACTGCTTGACAGCCTGCCCAGGAACGATGCGGTGGTTAAACTCTGCTCTGATGAATTCAATGTCGCTTACTGTTGTGAACCGGAGTAAAAACTATCAACACCACCACCACGGTAACAACCTCAAACATAACATACAGAATTTTTAACATCCTATGTCATTGTTAATGTATGCTAAATCAAACCGAATTGTAACCAGTATAAGACCAGGGCCAGCAAAGTTCTTTATGATTAGTTTTTGTATTCGGCTATATTAACTGTTATTTAGATATGATATTGAGATGCTTCGCCCGTTAATATCTGTACACAGTAAATAATGAGAAGGGAAAAGCCGAAGAATGATCACCCTTATTTGACATCTTTAGTATCATAGAGCACATACATTGATTGCTTAATAAAATTGCATTTATAATTCTGTCACTTTTTTAAAGTCTACTTTGTATATTTTTTTGAGGTTAGCAATATATGGATCACATTACATGTAAATGAAAAACAACCAACGGTTTGTTTTCGTATTTGTTTTTTTCAATTTAATAGGTGAGCTGGTTTTGTTTTTTGTATATTATGGTTTTATACTTTTAAGTATGAGGTTGGTTTGGTCTTCATGGAAACTACAATAATTACTTTAAATGTTAGAGGGTTAGGAAATAGTCAAAAACGAAAACAATTATTTAATTGGCTGGATTCACAACCATATTCTATTTATATGTTACAAGAAACCCACTTAACAAATCAATATGAACCTTTGAAAAATGAATGGAATGGCACAACTTTTTTCAGTGGAAATAAATCTAACAAAGCAGGCGTTGCCATTTTTAATTAAAAACGATTGTAATATTAAAATTTAAATAAAAAAGAATTGATTATAGGAAAATTAATAATGATTGAAGTAAAAAATAAATAACAAGGATTTCACAATGATTAATATTTATGGACCAAATTGATGATAACATATATATTTTTGATATACTTGAAAAGTTTATTCTTGAAAATGACGACAAGAACATTTAATCGGTGGCGATTTCAATACAGTAATTAATACATCTTTTGGATTAAAAAGAATGGAAATCTTCATACAAGTAGAAAATGTAGAGATAAGATAAAAAAACATAATTGAAACATGTAATCTAATTGACATTTGGCGTTTTTAAACACCCCGAAAAGAGGCAATTTACATGGCACTCTAATGGAAAACCAGTCATATACTGTAGACTTGATTACTTCTTTATATCCGATTCGCTTAGAAACATCATTTCAAAAAAGTAATATTTCTCAACATGGCCTTAAAACATATCATTCTCTAGTTACTTTGACATTTAATGATAATGCAATGCAAAAAAGGACCTGGATACTTTAAAATGAACAGTGCTTTATTATTAGATGAAGTTTATCAAAGTCAAATTAAAGAAATTATTCAAACAACAGCAGAAATAAATAAAACATCAAATCCAAAATACCTATTGGGAAATAATAAAAGGTGCAATAAGAAATGAAACAATACGTTATGCAAGTTTTAAGAAAAAGAAAGAAAAAGAACAAGAGTTAAATTTGATCGATGAAATAAAACAATTAGAAGAAAAAATACTAACAATTGATTCCTATAAAGAAAGTAAAGATGAAAATAAGTTAAAAAAATGAAATTTTATTAAAAAAAAAAAAACTTGATGAAATTTATGAATATCGTGTAAATGGCTCAATTTTTAAGAGCAAGAGCTATTCATGTAGAACATAACGAAAAAAAATAGTAAATATTTTTGCAAACTTAGAAAAAAAGACAAGCCGAGAAAAAAGTTATACATAAATTAAAGGTAGAAAATAAAGAAATAACAGAAATAAAAGAAATATTAAAAGAAGAAAAATCCTTTTTATGAATGTTTGTATAGATATAGAACTTCTCAAAACTCAAATATTAATTTTTTTGATACAGATATAAAATTATTAAATGAAGAAGAAAAGATCACATGTGAAGGGAAAATTAAATGAATATGAATGTAAAATAGCTTTATCAGAAATGAAAAATAATAAAAGTCCAGGATCTGATGGTTAACAGTTGAATTCTATAAATTATTTTGGAAATAGCATAAAAGACTATTATCTAGCTTCCATTAATTACTCTTTTGATACTTCAAAATTAACAACACTTCAAAGACAAGGAATAATATCCCTTATTCCTAAACCGGATAAAGATCTTACAGATATTTCAAATTGGAGACCAATAAGCTTGCTCAATGTTGATTATAAACTTGCAACAAAAACAATTTCAAATAGAATAAAAAAAGTTCTGCCGTCTAATAATAAGTTTTAATCAAACTGGTTTTATGAAAAATAGATATATTGGTGAAAATGTAAGGCTGATTTTTGAAATTATTGAACATCTGCAGAAAAGAAAATAAACCGGGTTTATTATTCTTTGCTGATTATGAAAAAGCATTCGACAGTCTAAGCCATCAATTTATATTTGATACACTGAATAAATTTAATTTTGGCAAAGATCTTATAAAATGGGTTAAAATCTTTTATACTGATATATCAAGTATAGTTATCAATAATGGACATTTTTCAGAGTCTTTTAATATAGAAAGGGGAGTACGTCAGGGATGTCCATTATCATCTTCATTATTTATTTTATGTATAGAAATATTATCAAATTTCATAGAAAAAGATAGTGAAATTAAAGGAATAGAAATCGCGAACAAAACAATAAAGCAATCCTTTTTTGCAGATGATGCAACATTGTTAATGATGGATCAGTGAAGTCTTTTGAAAAACTTGTATATGTAATAACGGAATTTAGCAAAATCTCTGGTTTAAAACTTAATACAAAAAAATCCACAGTTCTACGAGTGGGATCGCTCACAAAAAGTGATATAGAACATTGTAAATATAAAAAATTCAATTGGACATCTGATTCAGCAAAAAACTCTAGGTATTTCTTTTCTCGTCTAATTACAAAATAAATACAGATATAAATTTAGAACCAAAACTAAGAAACTTTTTATTTTGCTTAAAACAATGGCAACACAGAAAACTGACACTTATGGGTAAAGTGATGGTAATAAAAACATTTGCCTTACCTAAACTGTTGTATCCATTTTCAGTTTTAGAAAACCCATCAAGTAATAAGATAAA